CTTTCCCTTTTACAGTACCTATTGTACTTTTCAGATCCTGTGTACTCTTTCAGGTTCTTATGCTAGGGAGAAAATGAAGTTTACACTATTTTTGAGATGTGTTATTTTCATGGCACTATTACCAGAATTGCCTTAAAGTGTTCTCCGACACCCCTTGTAGTTATTTATTTTTCCCTTTCACATTGCTGCCGGCCATCCTTTTTTCCTGTCCCTACAATTTTGATTTTCCACAATATCATAGTAATTAAATTAAATATGTAGGCATCCACACCTGTCATGGTGTGTGCAAGAGTCATCCATATGGCTGTATGAGCCAGACCTTTTAACTGCTGAGCAGAGCGTGCAGTTTATTCACTTTAAGTGCAGAGAGGCTTAGAATATGCCTAGTTCTTGTCAGTTTTGAAGGGACACTGATATGAAACTTTTACATCCAGGTTCTGGTGTTGACAGATTTTCATCTCATTTGGATGAATACTTAGAAATAAAATGATAGACGCTTTGGTAAATTTATAAGGAATGACCTCTCCCTACTTTACAAAATGGTGATATCATTTTGTATTTCTATCAGCAATATGTGACTATTCCATTTGCTCCTTACTGCCAATATTAGATGATGTGAGATTTAAAAATATCCTTAAGCTATCCCCTTAAGAATGTATTGGGATCTCATTGTGCTTTTAATTTGAATTTCTTTAATGACTAAGCATGTTGAGCATGTTTTCATGTATTTATTTGACAACTAAGTATTCACCTTGATGCAAGATCTGCTCCTATCATTTGCTTCTTTTTTTTCAAAAGAAAGTGTTAGTTGCTTGCATATTACTGAGTTGAGAGAGTCTTTACATGTTCTGATGCTAGCAGCTATCATATATATCTATATATATCTATATATATAGATATATATATAGTTTACACACATTTTTGTTCATTCTTTGGCTAGTCTTTGCATTTTCCTAACAGTTTCCTTCAAAGAGCGGTATTTCATCTTGATGCATTCAATGTGTTAATTGTCTTATGGTTTGTTTCTTTTCTGTCCTGTCTAACAACAACAACAACAACAACAACAACAACAAACCTACTTTGCCTATATAAGGAACATTTTTTCCTATGTGTTCTTCTAGAAGTCTTATAATGTTAGGTTTTGCTTTTAGGATAAGAATTGCTTTTGAGCAAATTTTTTTGTATTTAATGTGAGGTATGAATTACAGTTCATCTTTTAAAAAAATGGATGCCTCGTTTGTTGAAAAGATGATTCTTTCATCACTAAATTTCCTTGGTGTCTTTATTGAAGGTCAGTTGGCCTAATACATATGCGCTTATTGCTGGACAGCAGCCACATTTTTTTTTTTTTTTTTTATGTTTTACTCAACTGACTGCCGCCACTTTATATCCAGTCAGGTAGAGTAAGTCTTTCTATTTTGGTTTTAAACATGAAGTTTCAGGTGTCTTTGATCTGCCAAGATGATTACGTCAAGAGAACTTTTGATACAAGAGTATGGATTTTGTGGACTGGGAGATGGAGCTCAGAGTAAGAGTGTTTGCCTAGAGTGTGCAAGGCCCTGGGATAAATCTCCAGAACCAAAAGAGAAAAAAAAAATCTATCTCAAAAGGAAGTTTGGTCCTAAAATGACAGCTTTCAGAATTCTTGGTCTGGAGATTTCATTCATAGCCAAGAACATCAATAAAATGACCTGGAAAATGTATACATAGAACAAAGAAAATCTACAACCAACCCTAGGGAATTCTAACCTTTAGACTTTAGAAGGATGCAATGGTCAATAAAACATAGTAAGGTGACCTAATCAGAGGAGCTGGCAAACCCTGGAATGGGTTTATAGCCCAAGGGTGGTCAGCTACATGGACAGCAGTTGTGGTGGTGCATGCCTGTAATCCCAGCTCTTGGGAGGCTGTAAACAGGCGGATCACTATGAATCCAATCTAGTAATGAGACCCTGAACACCATTTAGACCCTTCCCTAAAATATAAAAAAATAGACCAGCCTGAACTGCACATCATCATCATCATCATCATCACCATCATCATCATCATCATCATCAACAACAGCACAGAAACCAAAATCAAGGTTCATATCTGACCAAGGCTGCTTAATCATGTCTGAGGCCATCATCAGCAAAAAAAGGCAAGGAAAAGAGAAAGAGTTGACATTTGATGAAGCTGGGGAAGGAACAAAAGGTCTTGGGAGAGCAGATTTACTTAAGAAGTATGGCAAGACTACTGGGCTCCTAAAAATGTGCTTTTGTCTTCTCAGTCCATAGGCATGAAGGAGAAGCAAGTCAGCCGGTTCTCTCTGTCTCTGCCTCTCTGTCTCTATCTCTGTCTCTGTCTTTCTGTCTCTGTCGCTCACTCTCTCTCTACCTGTCTCTCTCTTTTTCTGTCTCTGTCTCTGTTTCTCTCTCTGTGTCTGTGTCTCTGTCTCTCTCTGTCTTTTTCTGTCTCTATTTCTCTCTTACTCTGTCTCTCTTTCCATCTCTCGGTCTCTCTCTATCTGTCTCTATCTTTCTAATACATGTTTGCTTTACATAGTGATTACATTTATGTGAACAGTTGGTGCACATACATAATACATCTTTACTCTTTTTTGTGTCCCCTATCCCTCTCCTCTCTGCCTTCCTCCCTCCCCTTCCTGTTTCCAAATGCTCTACTTTTCTTTTCACTTATTTATTTTCTTTGCCAGCCCCCAAAAGATGGCCCTGGTACAGACATAGGATGGGGTGGCATCTATGGGTGCTTATCCATTCTTCTGGGCACGGCCACCTCCTCTGTTGATATTTGCCAATTGTTTAATTTTAGACTTAGTTTTTATTTTTATGAATGATTTCATTATTTGAAACTATGAACTTTTTTAAATTGTTAGAAGTTTGAGAAATTTTATACATATATATTTATATTAACTTATTTTATTAAACTTTTTGTGGTAAGAATGTTAAGGATCTACTACTCGGCATGATAGTTTTCGCCCTAGTCGCTGTGCTCTTATGGATCCAATCATGGTGTTTTACTCACTTTTTCTTAACTTTTTATTCTTCTACCTATTTGAGTGACTTCCTAGGGCACAAACTGACAGAGGGGGCCAGCCCTTTCAATGTTCAACCTCTGCTGGCAAATATAGAGTTGAAGGCATCCATAAAACTCAGGTATGTATTTGAGACTATATGAAAAAGGCCAGTAGCAATACATGAAAGTGTTTTATAAAAATTAAAATAAGGAGGATAACACTAAGAAGAAAAAGAGAAAGGGTCGGGGGAAGAAGGAGAAATGAGAGAGAGAGAGAGAGAGAGAGAGAGAGGAGAAGAAGAGAAAAATGATAAGGCTAGGAATGGAAATTTCAGGAAAAAACATTAGATAAATAACCAAGGAGTGCCGCAGGGAGCGTCTTCATTAGAAGCCAGCGAAGGCCAGCTGCAGCAGCAGATGCTTTTGTCCATGTGAGCTGTGTTAACCGGGACCCAGGTGGTAACAGCGCTCTTACTTATGA